ATATTCCTGGTCTTACAAGGAATCCAGCAATGTCAATTATATTATCCTAACTTTAGTTTGAGGTATTATTTATTACTATACCTTAAAATTTAGTGGTTTTCCCCCAAACATTTCTCAGAGAGGGAAGAGCCAGCGAGTGTAGTGTGAGAAGAGGGGGAGGGAGTCGAGTCCATTATTTGAATGGACATTAACTTGGCGACTGTATTTCTCTATTTCTCTTAAGTATTAATTGTGTGCATGTACCATCATAAAATTAAGATGTTATTTTTACTAGAACATAGGTATTGTGTCGGAAAAAGTGGAGTTTGGGAGTCAGCCGGTCTCTATTTCATTTAATCCCATATGTTATGTTGTTCACTTTACGCGTTTCTCGCTTTACGCGGGCCTCCGTAGGTTCAATTGACCGCGTAAAGTGAGGGTTCACTGTATGTATGTATGTATGTATGTATGTGTGTGTGTGTGTGTGTGTGTGTGTGTGTGTGTGTATGTATGTATATATAAATATATATATATATATATATATATATATATATATATATATATATATATATATATATATATATATATATATATATATATATATATATATATATATATATATATATATATATATATATATATATAAATACAGTGACCCCTCGTTTAACGAACACCTCGGTTAACGTAATTTCGATTAACGAACTGCCTTCCATAAGGATCTTCAATTCCGTTAACGAAAAAAATTCGATTAACGAAGTTCTTACGTAACCGACCTCAACATGTTTTCGCTTGCACTGACCAGGCAACCAGCTTTAGTATCAGTCCGCCAATACATTAATCGGATCTAGGGCTTAAATTCCTTACTATTTTAGTAAATATCAAGAAGTTTATACTATTCAATAATTTTAAAGTTTAATATTCAATTTTTAGTCATTTTAACAATTATTGAACATAATTGAAGGTAAAGTGACTAGTTTAATGCGCGGCATCCAGCCTCTTAACACAGCAAACAGGAGTTACTGTCTCTCTCTGTTTTCACTGGAGGTAACATCTTGCTTCAGACTCTCTTCAACTAAATGCTTTTTTCTGTGTTTCCAAGCAAATTATTGGTCATTTTGAAATATATTCTACATATTGACAATATATAATGCAGTGCAGTGTTGATTTAAAGAAAATAATCTTGAATTACACCAAGAGAGCTAAAATTTTATGGGTGAAATGGCGCCATGGGGTGACTTCTCTTCCACCCCAATGCCTTCTCTTCTTCCTTCTCCTCCACCCCCATTCTAAATCCCATCATCATCATCATCCAGGAGCCTTCTACATACACACCTCAAAGTAAGTGAACTTTTCTACCATTTTTTTTTAATTTAGGAAATTTTCGGTGAGCTGGAACCAATTACCCAACAACCCATTGAAACAATGGTTTCACTTAACGAACTTTTCGGTTAACGAACGACCTTCTGGAACGGATTGAGTTCGTTAACGGAGGGGTCACTGTATATGTATGTATATATATATATATATATATATATATATATGTATGTATGTATGTATGTATGTATGTATGTGTATGTATGTATGTATGTATGTATGTATGTATGTATGTATGTGTGTATGTATGTATGTATGTATGTATGTATGTATGTATGTATGTATGTATGTATATATATATATATATATATATATATATATATATATATATATATATATATATATATATATATATATATATATATATATATATATATATATATATATATATATATATATATATATATATATATGCAAATACTGTAGTGATCACAGGGGTGAGTACAGACCAGTCTGTACTCACCCCTGAAGAGGTGAATTACACGAAGCGCTGGGGAACTCTGTGGTTTTCTTTCCTTGTGGTTATCACATATATATATATATATATATATATATATATGTATGTATGTATGTGTATGTATGTATGTGTATGTATGTATGTATGTATGTATGTATGTATGTATGTATGTATGTATGTATGTATGTATGTGTGTATGTATGCATGTATGTATGTATGTATGTGTATGTATGTATGTATGTATGTATGTGTATGTATGTATGTATGTATGTATGTATGTATGTATGTATGTATGTATGTATGTGTATGTATGTATGTATGTATGTATATATATATATATATATATATATATATATATATATATATATATATATATATATATATATATATATATATATATATATATATATATATATATATATATATATTCAACACCTCAACCCGCCTGGATTCGAACCCACGGCCCACGAGCGTATGACTATGACCGGGGAACGCTAACCGCTGGACCACCAGGATACTAAAAGCAGTCCTAGACTCTGTTATATTTCACACAAAGCCTGTTCAACGAGCTTATGGATAGTCCCCATTAGAGGTTCACGGCGCCATAAGCTCATTGAACAGGCTTTGTGTGAAATATAACAGGGTATATGCAGATACCCAGGGTATATGGAGATACCCAGGGTATATGCAGATACCCAGGGTATATGCAGATACCCAGGGTATATGCAGATACATAATATTGTACACTACAATAGTATTTATTAAGTGACAATAAATACCCTTCAACAGTATTTATTAATTGATGATAAATACACAATAGTGTTTATTAAGTGGTCATAAATACAATACTGTACTGTACTAATTTATTAAGTGTTGTACACAGACATTGAGGAAAGCAGCTATGCCTATCAGCTGTTAGCCCTTTGTAAACAAATGATTCATGGTGTTGTGTGGGATTCTTTTTTCAGGAAACATAATTCTTTTAGGATATTATTTTATCAACCTGGCACCAAATGATCCTAAATTATATAAGAATTGTGGTGGAATTGCATAAAGACATGTTATCGTCATAACTCGAGGCTTTCTTGTACTGTAATTAAAAAACAAATATTCATAAAACAGTTTAGTCATGTTGTATTGATGCTAACAACCTCAACCAAATGTATGGAAATTTCTCTCAATGTAGGACTTCACTTTTGACAAAGAAACTATTACTAGAGATGTTCTTTGTCCTTTAATGCTCACCATCCATTAATATAAAATAATCAAACATTAATGGAAGCACAGTAACAACTCTCCACACTGTGCCGACAACAATCAACTATTTACCATCTGATGTATACATTGAAATATACATACAGTATGTACAGTAGTATATTTTAGTGAATACTTACATCATACAGTATATACTTTGTGAGACATGATACTAGTAGACACTACAATAAACAAGTAAAGCCACATGTTTAATTAAAGGGAATATTCAGATTTTCCTCCTTATCATACTCATAAGTTAATGAACAGGAATGGTTATTCAGGGAGTTCAGACAATCACATGTACTATTGACTCCCAGCAGGTGCAGACTATAAATTATTATTGAATGTTAAGTACAGGTTGTACCTCTCTAGTCCGGCATTCTGTGGTACGGAAACTCCCGTGGTCCGGAACGATTTTAGTTTGTCCAATAGGAAGCTTTTTTTTTTTCTGAATAATTATTATTATTATTACAGGAGCATTAAATTTTTGCCCCTCAGGCCCCAATGTGGGTCAGTGACCTATGCCCGGGTGGGCTAATCCCCGTAAAACAAAACAACAACAAAGCCGCGGGAAATTAAGGTTTGTTTACATCCGGCAGTTCGGCTGCTCTCTCTCTCTCTCTCTCTGCTTGTCTATACAGAGTACAACATTTAACCCTTCAATATATATGAGCGGTAAATAAGTGTTGCTTTCATATTCTTATGTAGAGCAATGACGATATGTTTTCACATGTGCGCACTTACATATGCGCAGTCACACGTTTTTTTTTACCATTAATGGTAAGCTACTTCAATTGTTCCATTTATTAACATTAAACAACATTACAGGTACTTCAAACAACCATATTATTTTTTTTACATTAATTTTACTACAGCTACAATCACGGTCTTATTTTCTTCAGTTTTATATGTAGAACCAATCAGTCACTGGTTTTGTAAGCTTTAACATAAACAATGCCGGCAGCCGTCTCGTCTCATCGTGTGTTTTAATATTCCACGTATTATTAATAAATTGTATTGTTAATTTTGCACACACAAACATTAATTCAATAAAAACAAATTCAGAAACATTAATTAAAATATATATGAACAGTAAATAAGTGTTGCTTTCATATTCTTATGTAAAGTAATGACGATATGTTTTCACGTGTGCGCATGCGCACTTACATACGCGATCTCTCTTTTTTCTTTACCATTATCGTTAGCTACTTCCATTGTCCCATTTATTAACATTAAATAACATTACTTAAAACAACCATATTAATTTTATTACAGCTACAACCAAGGTCTTATTTTCTTCAGTTTTATATGTAGAACCAGTCAGTCACTGGTTTTGTAATCAACGAAAACAATGCTGTGTCATTTCCTCGTGTGTTTTAATATTCTACGTATTATTAATGAATTGTATTGCTCATTTTGCACACATAAACATTAATTCAATAAAAAAGACATTCAGTAATAAACAATAATGAATCTTTTGTACATAAGACAAATGAAGCTGTTTACACGATTATGCACGTCGTCTGAACGTTGGCGGGCCGTTCAAACCCGTCGAAATTCAAGTTTCCGCCGTCAAAATTTTTATTTACCGGTATTTATTTTTTTGTGTTCCAATAAAATACATTGAATTAAAAACTCACGAAATTTGAGAAGCTACTATATGACATTTAACCCTTCAATATGTCTTCAAAGAGACCATGATGCAGAGAAAGTGGTGCTAGTGCTTCCAAGCATAAGCACAAGTCATTATATCCAGGAAAAGGGTGAATTTTCATGGTCCGGCACTGGTCAGGTCCCAAGGTTGCCGGACTAGAGAGGTACAACCTGTAATTTGTTTTCTCATCTTGCTACAATTTGTAATAAAAAGATGAAAGTACTGTACAGTAATTGAAGAGGAAAAAGAACAATCTTTTAAATTAGTCTTTAATTAGCTTACCTTAATATTACCACGAGCATCGAAACCATCGAGTTGATTGATGAGCTCCAGCATAGTTCTCTGCACTTCATTGTCACCTCCAGCACCATCATCAAATCGAGCACCTCCAATGGCATCAATTTCATCAAAAAAGATCAGGCACGCTTTCTTAGTGCGGGCCATCTCAAAGAGTTCACGTACCATTCGAGCACCCTTCATTAAATAAGGAAAATTGCATGCATTAGCAATATTGAGAAATATATCAAGTTCCAACCAGGCAATAAAATAACCAACACCATTATGAATAATGTTCGGAGGAGGAGGAACCACCATAAAGAACAAGGCCTCAAAGATGAATACAACTTAAACTTTTGATAACAATATTATTGATAATAAAGGTGACAAGTAATGTACAAAATAATAAAAATATGGAATCTGTATCAGGTAAATAATAAAGAAAAAGCTCAAGAAGTCAAGATTCAAGGAAAACTAAAGGTGATAGGCAAACTACAATTATGAATGTGCTGTAAAAGTAAGATACAAGTGAGCAAAAGTGAAGCATTTGATGACAATCCATGTATTCTTTTGACACAAAAAAAATAAAAACTCGATGTAGATGTGAAAATGGTACATCAGATAGAATCACAAGATCACTTACCTCTCCGACATATTTCTGAACTAATTCAGAACCAATAACTCTGATGAAACAGGCATCTGTACGGTTAGCAACTGCTCGTGCACACAAGGTCTTTCCTGTTCCAGGTGGTCCAAACAGGAGGACACCTTTAGGAGGTTCAATGCCAAGATTAACAAACCGTTCAGGCTGAAATGAAAATTAGCACAAGATAAAAAGAAAAAAAAGTACAAGCGTAATGAATAAACTTATAACAAACGTGTAAAACCCTACCTAACCAATCTAACCACAATGAATTAAGTTAGATTCAGTTTAGTTGGTAATGTCATCATTAATTCAATGGCTTAATATCATAGTCTATCAGCTATGCCTTAAAAACTCTTAGAACTATATTTTTTTCTATTACACGCACACACACAGAGTAGAAGCACAATAATTCAAACTAATTGGGAAATACCCAAGTCCGAAAAATACGAAAGTCCGAAAAAAGCAATTACCTGTGCCTAGTAGCAGCGATATCTCCGTTAGCCGGAACAATTGGTGCAGAGTACTTCCGGAAAAGAGAGATTTCCGAGTAACGAGACGACTCTCTCAAAGCCGGAAAAATATTGCTCATCCCCAGAATTTTCAGGGTAACGGAAAAATTTTTCTCAATAGTTCCAGAAATTGTCCATTACATCTTCTCTCAAACCCGGAAAAATATCCCTCATCCCCGAAATTTTATGGAAAATGAGCCTGATTTTCATCTCTCAAACCCGGATAGATTCCCCCATCCCCGGAATTTGCCGGGTATCGGGGAAACTGTCTCCGAATTTTCCGGATAATGTGCCGCTCGGAAAATTTCAATTCCAGCTATCGGAGAGTTCCGGGTTTGAGGGATTCCGGCTAACGGAGATACTACTTGTACCTGTACAGTAAAGCCTCCGATAACAACGGTTCGACCAATAACTTTTCATATTTAAAATCCTAGTTAATTTAGGACCCAATTAAATTTACGTCCTTATTTCATTCGTATTTACGACCAAAATATAATAAAAATAGAATAAAATTACATTTTTATATAAATAATAACTAAATTCCAATATGTATTATCCAAAAAAAAATTACTGTAAAAAAAATGAAGAGCGCCTTGCACAAAGAAGCTGCCTGGCTAATGAGTAGTAAACAACAGTCGGAGCTTGGCGGGCCTTTTGTTTTCACGCATCTGGAACAGGAACTGGAGAAAAAGTTTCTCAGGTTTCTTACAGCATTTTTGCATTCCTATTCAACATGAGCAAGAGAGCAAGTGATGGTGGTGTTGTTTCAAAAGCTAATAGAAAGTGTCTAAGCTTAGCCAAGAAACAAGATGTGTTAAACGATATGAAAAAGGTAAGAGGTGTGTGGATATTATATGGAGCAAGCAATGAACATATTTTCTGAAGTGGATCCATTAACAGAACAAAGCATTAAAATTTAAATAAATGCAAATGACCTCTACATAAAGATGTATAATGAGAAAACAAAGCAGCTGTGCAGGGTTCTTTCGACAGGCCTAAACCATCAACTTCAGCTATACAATCAAATTCAGCATCATAAGCAACTTCAACATCAACTTCAGGTTCAGGAACAGTTTCAGCAACAGCTTTATGGAAAGCTACAGCTTCAGCCAGAGTTGAACCAACAGCTTCAGCTAGAGTTGAGCCTGATGACTTCGTCATCTGAGTAAACACTCGCACAATATTCATTGGCTGTCCTTATGTTTTAGACTTTACCACCATTGGTGAATAAAATTTTAGTTTTACATTCGTAAATATTATTTAAAACATATATGAACAGTAAATACGTGTTGCTTTCATATTCAAATGTAGAGAAATGACGATATGTTTTCACATGTACGCACTTACTGTTCATACATTGGCGTTCCCGATCGTCTCGCCTTATTTCTTTATTAACTTTAAATAGCATTATTTAAAACATCGTCTCCTCTTGTGTGTTTTAAAATTCTACGTACTATTAATGAATTGCATTGTTCATTTCAAATATATAAACTTAAATTCAATCAAATACATATTCAATAATAACAATAATGAATCTTTTGTACATATTCTTAAGATAAATGACTGTTTCCTTGAGTGTGCACGTATACATTGGGTGTAAACATTGACAACAATGTAGTCTTTTATCCTCTTGTGTGTTTTAATATTCTACGTATTAATGAATTGTATTGTTCATTTCGCATATATAAAGATTAATTCAATCAAATACATATTTAGTAATAAACATTAATGAGTCTTTTGTACATATTCTTAAGATAAATGAAGCGGTATCCTTAAATGCACACGTACAGTGTATGTTGGCGTTCCCAATCCATCTCTATTTTTTTTTCTTTGCCATTAGTGATTAACTATTTCAATTGTTCCATTTATTCCATTTCTTAACATTAAATAACGTTACTTAAAACATATACAGTGGTCCCTTGCTTAACGAATGGTTCGGTTAATGAAATTTCGGTTAACGAATTACCTTCCATAAGAATCTTCAATCCGGTTAATGAACAAAAATTTGATTAACGAAATCCTTACGAAGACATGTCAACATGTTTTGGCTTGCTCATCGGCTGGTAGGCTAGTCCGCCAATACAGTAATTGGTTCTAGGCTTACATTCGTTTCCATTGGAGTAAATGTCAAGAAGGCTGTGCTCTTTAATATTTTTGCAAGTTTTATATTAAAATTATTAGTCATTTTAACACTTATTTAATATAATTGATAATATATGCAGTACAGGGAACTATTTTTTGGTGCGCCCATCAGCCACTTCACTCACCCACCAAGGCGTCTGTTTAACTCTCTGTACAGTGGAGGAAACATCTTGCTTGTGGGTCTCTTGAACACAGAGTATTTTTACGTTTTTACATTAGTACAATTTTTGGTCATTCTGAAATTTAATTAACATATTGATAATATATAGCGCAGTGCAGTGTTGATTTAAATAAAATAATCTTTAATTACAGCTAGTGAACTTAAAATTTCAGTGGTGAAATTACTGTATTGAATCCAGCATGGGTCCAAAGAAATCTAGAAAGGCAATTTCAATTCAAGTGAAACAGGAAATCATTAAGAAACATGAAGAAGGCATTAGAACAAATGTGCTAAGTAGAGAATATGGCATGTCGGCATCAACTGTGTCGACAATTCTTGCGCAGAAAGACAAATTTAAAGAAGTGAAAGTGAGAGATAAATCTACCAGAGTGTTTAAAGGTAGATCATTAATTGCAGAAACAGAAAGGTTACTTCTTATTTGGAGTAAGGAAAAATAAATGAAAGGAGATTCAATTTCTACTGAATTTATTTGTGAAAGAGCCAGGGAAATATCCGAACATTTGAAGGAAGAGCAACCTAGTTCTTCTGAAACTGACTTTGAATAGTTTAGGGCCAGCAAGGGCTGGTACGATAAATTTAAGAAAAGAAGTGACATTTTTAGTGTTGCTAGGCATGGTGAAGCTGCCAGTGCAGATAGGGAAGGAGCAGCAAAACTTGTAGTGGAGTTCAAGGAACTGATGGATGAAGAGAATTATCTTCCACAGCAAGTGTGCAATGTGGATGAAACCAGGCTGTTCTGGAAGAAAATGCTCAAAAGGACATTCATCACCAGAGATGAAGCTTCTTTACCGGGACATAAACCCATTGCTTGGTGCCAATGCTTCAGGGGATTTCCGACTGAAGCCTATGCTTGGCTACCACTCTGAGAACCCCAGGGTGTTCAAGCAACAAAAGATGGTAAGAGGACAACTTGGAGTTTATTGTAAATCCAACCGTACGGCATAGGTAACAAGACAGCTCTTTAATGAATGGGCTGTTGAGGTGTTTTGCCCTTCTGTGAAGTTACCTAACCACCAATAAACTTCCTTTAAAGGCTCTTCTCCTTCTGCATAATGCCTCTGGTCATGACCCTGAACTTGCCAGCACTTTGGAGGCTCGATTTGACTTTGTCAGTGTTGTTTTTGCCTCCCAACACTACATCAATTATACAGCCAATGGACCAAAATGTAATCAGCAACTTCAAGAAGCTGTACACGAAGAAAATGTTCAGAAGGTGTCATCAGGCAACTTCCACTGATCCTGATCTAACACTGTCACAGTTCTGGAAGACACAGTACAACATCCTGGAGGCTGTAAAATTGATTGTCATCATAGCAAGAAGTCTCCATTCGATCCCTGAATTCTGCATGGGAAGCACTGTGGCCAACAGCAGTCCATGATTTTGAGGGATTTGAGGAAGAAACAGAGTTGGACAAGGAGAGTGTGTCCATTAGTCAGTCAATGGGCCTTGAAGTGGAGGAGGATGATGTTGAAGAGCTTGTGATGTCTCATGAGCAGGAACTTACTCCTGAAGACTTGAAGCAACTGGGTGAGATGTTAGAAACAGACAGTGGTGAGGAGGAAAGGGAAAGTGATGACCATACGTATTCTTTCGATTTAAAAGATGTTGTTCACTACTGGGAGATGTTCATGAAACTGCCTTCAAGGCACCCTGATGTGGAAACAACAGAACCTATTTTGTGTACTGTTGAGGACAAAGTGGTCTCCATCTTCAAGAACCAGTTAATGATCAGGAGGAGAAATACCCCACAACCAAAAATTGACAGTTTCTTCTCTAAAAGGCAGCAGGAGAAAGGTGCTACCCCTCAGCCTTCCGCTTCAAAAAGGAGAGAGGATTTTCCTGTTAGAGAATCTGTCAGTCCAGAGGTTCCTCACATTATAATGGAAGGTGACTCGCCTTCCAAAAACCAGTAAAATGCTTCTCCTCCATCCCCTCTTCCTTCTCTTCTCCCTTCTCCTCCTCCCACCCCCCACTTCTAATTCCCATCAGCATCATCAACCAGGAACCTTCTACATACACACCTCAAAGTAAGTGTACTTTACTGCATTTTTTTTTTTACTTTGTATTTACTTTTCTGTGAGCTGGAACCAAATACCATCAGAGATGTCCAGGAGGGTTACTACAAAGGACAACATTGCAGCAGTGATTGCATTGTACAAAGCAAACTATGTACTGAGAGATATTTCTGCTCAGACTGGTGTGAGGTTGCGTGTTGTCCAAAAACTTGTGAAGCGTTTCCGTGAGCTTGGAGAGGACGTGTTGCCAGCTCCCCTACCCAAATCTGGTAGGCCTAAATTATGGTCTCCATGGACACTTAAGGTTATTTCACGCCAAGTTAGGTCCAATCCCGCCCTCACAGCACGTGAAGTTAAAGAGAAAAAACCCCGTCTTCTCTGCCACGTCTCCTTACGTTGTGTTCAACAAGCCCTCCACGATGACCTTGGATTTAAGAGCTTCCGTGCCCGTCGTAAACCTCTGTTGACGAAGAGACAGAAGGAAAATAGAGTGAAATTTTGCAAGAAATATGAAGTGTGGGATTAAGAGTCATGGAGGAGTGTATTGTGGTCCGACGAGGCTACGTTTTCTGTGACTGGCAGTAGTCGAGGAGGGTGTACCGCCTGCCTCACTCGGATGCACATCTCCCACAGTACACTGTAAAGACTGTTAAGCACCCTGCCTCGCTTATGCACTGTCACTATGTTGAAATGCCCTGTAGTTTGAGCTTTTCCCCATCTAGTTATTATATATCTTATTTGTATCACTTATGTTATTTGTATATTATTTGTAAATCGAAACCCATTCCCCAATTATGTAACTGTATATTTTCAGCCTTCTGGCTGCTATGCTCTTTCAATAAACCGTTAATTATTATTTTTATTATTATGGTTTGGGCTTCCTTTACGTATTATGGTGTTGGTGAACTAGTAATCCTCCCTAAGAACCAGATGATGAATCAGTACAACTATCTTGAACTGCTTAGTGATTTCTTAACTGAATCATTTGATAAAGCTAAGGCAAGCCTTTTCATGCAGGACGGTGCCCCATGCCACACTGCTAAAAGTGTCATACAGTGGCTCAAAGACTGTGAGGTACCTTTCTTTAATGAATGGCCTGGCAGTAGCCCAGATCTCAACCCAATAGAAAATTTGTGGTCCACTGTTAAGCGTCGTCTGCGCGACATTGACACATCACCAGTGCCCAAGTCAACCAGCCCACAATCCTTAAATCAGCTACAACCTATTGCAATCACCCCAATACCCAGCCTAATCTGTGAAAGTTTTGTGTTCGACTGGGCTTATGCTGATATTGCAGGAGTCGTAGACCCTCAGCAATTTGGCAACATGAAAACTTCCTCCACCACTCACTGTCTTGTCGGCTTTCTCGATTACATATACCGCCATCTCGAGAAACGAAAAACGTCTGTAGCTGTCGCCTTCATTGATTTCACTAAAGCATTCGACCTAGTCGACCACAATATAATCATCAACAAAGCTATTGACCTCGGGCTTCGGAGAAGTCTTATACCATGGCTTACAGACTTCCTCAGTGACCGACGCCAAGCTGTACGCTTCCGAGGGGCTGTCTCCACCTTTCAGTCACTCACCTGTGGCGTCCCCCAAGGCACCAAGATGGGACCACTCTGCTTCCTTATGCTCATCAATGATGCCCTAAGAGAAACCCCTGCTCGCTGGAAATATGTCGACGACTCCACCATTGGAATCAGCGTCAACAATTCTGCTCCCAACTATACCGCCCTTCAGGATTTATTGAACAGTCTCCAAAACTGGGCCACCAACAACCATGTCACCATCAACCATACCAAGACCATGGTTATGCACATCAACCTCTCCTCCGACATTGTCCCACCTCCTTCCATTACTTTAGGTCCGAACACACTCCAGGTTGTAGATTCCACGAAGCTCCTCGGCGTCACCATAGACAACAAACTAAATTGGAAACCACACGTCAGTGAAGTTGTCAAATCCTCCAGTTTCCATCTCCACCTCCTCCGCCGACTCAAGTCCCTCGGAGTTCCTGCACCCGAGCTCCTCAGTGTTTACACAACATTCATACTTCCCAAGCTCACCTATGCCTCCCCTACCTGGTCTTCCTCCCTAAATGCCACACAACGTAAACACCTAGAAAAAGTGCAAAAGAGGGCATGCAAGATTATTCTCTCCCCTTCCTACTCCACATATCAAGAAGCGCTCAACACACTGACCCTTTCGACTCTCACTGACCATCACCACGACCTCATCTGCAAATTTGGTAAGAAGCTTCTACACCATCCTCGACACGGCTCCTACAGGTAGTTCTGCTATAACCAATTGTGTTCTTGTAAAATATCGTGTTATAGAAAATCGCGTAATAGAAATAACAGGGCTTATGGAGAAAATAGGGTTAGGTGCAGATTACTCGAAATCGAAAAAATTTAGTAGTTAGCCTAACACAAAGGATAGCACAGTCTAAATAAATGTTACATTCATATCTAATAATGAAATCATACAGTAAATTTAACACTTTACCTTGAAAAAATATGAATGTAACTTGATGGGGGAGAAGGGTGATTTTGAGGTTGATAACATCAAGCTTCTCTTCAAGTGTTATATCCTTTCTTTTACGATAATCACCGGGAATTCTATCATCAGAATGCTTTTTGGAGATATTCTTCTTTACCATATTCACAGTTAATACCACAAAATTGGAGAAATAGTAAGCAAAAATCGCGTTATAGCAAACAAGCGATCGCGTTATACAAATATTGTTCCGAATTCATAAATCGCGTTAGAGCAAATTCGCGTTATCAAAACACGCGTTATAGCAGAACTCACTGTACTACCACCTGAGATCCCTGGTCCGAGAATTGCTGTTCGACACCACAACCGCATCCAGCCCATACGTGCACGAACTGATCGCTATAAGAACAGCCCAGTCCCAACCATTGTAAAAATTATCAATAACTTGTAATAAACCAGTGTATTCACTCCCAGTAAACACTACTCCTTGCACTGTCACTATGTTGAAATGAACTGTAGTTTGAGCTTTTCCCCATCTAGTTATTACATGTCTTATTTGTGTCACTTATGTTACTTGTATATTATTTGTAATTCGTAACCCATTCCCCAAATATGTAACTGTATATTTTCAGCCTTCTGGCTGCCAAGCTCTTTCAATAAACCGTTAATTATTATTATTATTATCATCAATCCCGAAGCTAGAGGCAGCCATCAAGGATCCCTAGGCTAACTTGCCACCTGACCTCTTGCAAAACCTTGCTGACGTGTTCCCCAAAGGCTAAAGGACTGCCTGAAGCACAGAGGGAACACTGCAAAGTATTAATTGAAGTGGTAAGTGTTACTTGACTTTATTTATATAACATTACCGTAAATATGCATATTTTTCCAGCACACGATCTAACATTCTGCGTATATATATATACATACACAGGTAAAGGAAATTACTGTGCCTAGAATGAATGGCTCCCTGTCCCATACACAAAAATGGCAGCAACTTTAAAACTACCCACAGACATTCTTGGGTACATCCAGTGTCATCCGCGCATAATAGAGGACTGCGAAATATAAATTCCTTGAATTTGGGGGCCCCTTGTATCTTGAAAGCTCGTCTTACCTATTTTATTGGGTGAACTACATCATTAGTATTGTACTGTATGCTACAACTCACATGTAAGAGAGGCGTCTCAACCACTTCACGGAGTTTTTCAATTTGTTCCTTGCAGCCTCCCACGTCAGAGTATGTAACATCGGGTTTCTCTTCCACCTGCATCATTGTTACTGAGGGATCAATTTTTGGTGGGAGAGGAATATGTATTTGATACTTGTTGCGATCCACGCTGTAAAATAAATAAAAAAATAAAAACAATTATAACCCTACAATAAATCTCTCACAATTTTCAAGGTTATGTTTCTACGAATTCAGTAGAATGTAAATTGATTGGGCTTATGGTGAAAATGGGGTTAAAATCATGAGTCCCAAAGAATTAAAAGCTAAAATTTACTTAATCCCTAAAATCATTTATTTTTACCAGAAGTGTTACTAAAAATCCCTGAAAAAGAATGTAATCATTAGTAACATAGAAATGTGATATAAAACAATTTATGATCTGTCTCATGACATTCTACACATTTCAGTAATTTAAATTCATGTTTTCTATGATATAATAAACATACAAGAAAAATATTGCAAAAAAAGTTTTTAAAGCATTATACAGTAAACCCTCAAAATTCCAGACTATTTGGGGAAAAGGGAGTCCGGACTTGCCAATTGCCCAGGCTTTTACCAAGTGAGTGTTTTGCTTCAACTAAGCAACCACTCGTTAGTTCCAATGTGCAATAATGTCGTGTGTATATCGTTTTACATTTTTCCTTTAAAGTGAGTTCTGCTATAACGCGTGTTTTGACAATGCGAATTGGCTCTTAACGCGATTTATGAATAGAGGAACAATATTTGTATAACGTGAACGCTTGTTTGCTGTAATGCGATTTTTGCTTACCATTTCTCCAATTTTGTGGCATTAACTGTGAATATGGTAAAGAAGAATATCTCCAAGAAGCGCTCTGGTGATCGCATTCCCTGTGATGATCGTAAAAGAAAGGCTATAACCCTTGAAGAGAAGCTCGATGTTATCAACCTCAAAATCACCCTTCTCCCCCATCAAGTTATATTCATATTTTTTCAAGGTAAAGTGTTACATTTACTGTATGATTTCATTATTAGATATGAATGTAACATTTATTTAGACTGTGCTAACCTTTGTGTTAGGCTAACTACTAATTTTTTTTTCGATTTCGAGTAGTAATCTGCACCTAACCCTATTTTCTCCATAAGCCCTGTTATTTCTATTACGCGAATTTCTATAACACGATGTTTTACAAGAACACAACTATCGCGTTACAGCAGAACTGACTGTATATGCATTATAGTACAGTTCATTAAGAAAGAACTTACTGGATATAAATATATTATTTTATTTATTATTAAAAGATATACTACAGTCTCACCTCGACTTACTACGAGGTTCCTTCCGCGACCAGGTCCTAAGTCTAATTGGTCGTGTCAAAAAGGCAAAAATAATACATAGAAATTCTAAAATGAGTCTCTTTTTCTTCTCAGCACCATGAGAACTTCATTTTTATGCTTACAACTATTTAAAGGGAATTACAAACCCAAAAAATTTTCAGTACACAGCGATCACTAACGTCGGAACTCGAAAATAACTAATGTGAAAAATATTTTATACGACCATGGCCTTCAGATGTCCGGGTTGTCGTAAGTCGAATATGTCGTAAGTCGAAGGAGACTGTACAATCCATCTCACTTTTTTTCTTTACCATTAGTGGTTAGCAACTTCTATTGTTCCATTTATTAACATTACTTAAAACATATATATTCATTTTTTTACATTAATTTCACTACAGCTAAAACCAGGGTCTTATTTTCTTCATTTTCTAGTGTAGAACTATCATCCCAGACAGCTGTAAACACAAACAAAACAATGGCATCCCATCTCCTCTTGTGTGACCATATAATTATTCATTTATATTGTATAAGGTGCATTCAGAAACATTATTTAGAGAATATAGTTTGCAATTTACATTAATTGTATTGTTTTGGGGGGAAAAGAGGGTAAAAAGCCACACAAAATATATGAAAAGGTCACACTTGGGAATACATCTCATTATTATTGCTTTATTTTAATAGTAATTAATGATTCATGATATGATGATTCACCTTACACTGCAATATTGGAGGACACATTACCGTCATTATTTGAGGCTTTACTGTACTATAAAGATAAAAATAAGAACAAATAAGTGTAGGAGTATATTGTAGGTGGAAGACGAGTGTTGTTACGAATTTGTCGTATTTTTCTATTATTTTTATATAACATGCTGCCATGTTGTTCCATATTATTCCTGTAATGATGTGTTATATTTACTATTATATATTCTAGTCACCTTACCCTGTGCTGTTGGTTTTAACTGTTATTATTTGTTCGCTCCATCTTATTTTCTTCATTTAGTATTGTAACAAGCATTCTTTGTTTCTCTAAACTAACCATCTGCATCGTTAAACAATCCATGTTTCACCGGGCGTGTCGACTGGCGGAGCCACTCCATATATAGTCCCCACCAGCAGCAGAGTTCAGTCCAGTCCTCTGTCATTCACAGTTCACGTTTTTGAGTGACACCACACCTGTTCCCTTATACTTTATTTTATTTCTGTGTTGTTCCTGTCGCCACCAATGTGGTTTATCTATGTGAGTACCTATTCATGTCTCTTATGTGTCCATCAGTGCTTGCTTAGTTACATTTAAGTAATTCAGTGTTGTTTTCACGATAGTTAATTTCAGTGTTAGTTATTTTGTATGTTTATGCAGTGTTAACGTGAATCCAGCATTATTTTTATTCTATATGTTTAAGAAGTTCCTTTGATGTTTCGATGTTTAGTATCATTTGTGTCTTAAAAGTTTCTGATAGTGAATCAATTTGTTGTGATAGCTCATCTGTGCTCTTTTATTGTGTTAGTATTTAATTTAATTAAATTCTCAAAGGTTTACTTTATTTATTTTTATTCCCTTTTCATTTACTTCACCTTTTTTGTTTGTTACGAACCTGATAATAAAGTAAATTAAGAGTCGGCGAACAGTGTATATCTGGGAGCAGCAGGCTGAGGGAGGGAGGGGTGGGGAGGCTGTGGGTGGTGCCCTCCCTCTCTCTCCCCCAGGATCCCTTTAACATGTCTTTATGCAATTTCACCATAATTCTCATATCATTTTGGTTCATTTGGTGCCAGGATGATAAAATAGTATCCTAAAAGAATCAACTTTCCTGAAAAAGGAATCCCACACTCAACACCATGATAGGCTTAGCTCCTTCACCACTCATGCTTACCCCAACGTCTGTCTACAACACTTAATAAATTAGAACAGTACAGTTGAGTATTTATCACCACTTAATAAATACCCAAAAAAAATTGCGGATTTTATTTCAGTGTTCTCTAAACACACACACACACACACACACACACACACACACACACACACACACACACACACACACACACACACACACACACACACACACACACACACACACACACACACACACACACACACACACACACACACACACACACACACACACACACACACACACACACACACACACACACACACACACACACACACACACACACACACACACACACACACACACACACACACACACACACACACACACACACACACACACACACACACACACACACACACACACACACACACACACACACACACACACACACACACACACACACACACACACACACACACACACACACACACACACACACACACACACACACACACACACACACACACACACACACACACACACACACACACACACACACACACACACACACACACACACACACACACACACACACACACACACACACACACACACACACACACACACACACACACACACACACACACACACACACACACACACACACACACACACACACACACACACACACACACACACACACACACACACACACACACACACACACACACACACACACACACACACACACACACACACACACACACACACACACACACACACACACACACACACACACACACACACACACACACACACACACACACACACACACACACACACACACACACACACACACACACACACACACACACACACACACACACACACACACACACACACACACACACACACACACACACACACACACACACACACACACACACACACACACACACACACACACACACACACACACACACACACACACACACACACACACACACACACACACACACACACACACACACACACACACACACACACACACACACACACACACACACACACACACACACACACACACACACACACACACACACACACACACACACACACACACACACACACACACACACACACACACACACACACACACACACACACACACACACACACACACACACACACACACACACACACACACACACACACACACACACACACACACACACACACACACACACACACACACACACACACACACACACACACACACACACACACACACACACACACACACACACACACACACACACACACACACACACACACACACACACACACACACACACACACACACACACACACACACACACACACACACACACACACACACACACACACACACACACACACACACACACACACACACACACACACACACACACACACACACACACACACACACACACACACACACACACACACACACACACACACACACACACACACACACACACACACACACACACACATATATATATATATATATATATATATATATATATATATATACATATATATATACACAGTATACTCCCCGCCTAACGCGTTTCACTTAACGCTTATCATATACGTGCTCGCAGATCTGAACTTTCACTTAACACGGATTTTTTCCACTATACGCTGTGAGTGTCCTGCCTGAGACGCTATTTTTAGATTTGCCCCACCCGCCAACCCTGCCTGACTGCCTGTTTTAGCTCATAAAATTCATACAAATTACTCAGCCAGAATATAATTTACATTGCTGAATTTATAATTTAGATCATTTTGAATATAAACATCATATTTTTGCATTAGACATACAAATTTTAGATAAAAAATTTTCTCTAGGTAACTATGTTATCTTTTGTGCAAAATATATGACATTTATATTCAAAATATTCCTGGTCTTACAAGGAATCCAGCAATGTCA